CCACCAAGCTGAAGTCAAAGTGACTGAAGGAGTTGATGATGGTGAAATGGAACCAAATATAGATATTAAAACAGAACAGGAGATCAAGATTTGAAGCCAATAATTGATTTCCTAAAAGCAAGTGTTTTGTGCTGTGTTTGGGAGAAGATGTCTAGCTTAAGCCCTGTGACAAAGAACTATTGGGCACAACGGGACCAGTTGAAGTTTGAAGATGGTATTCTTGTCCAGAGATGGGAAAGTGATGACCTGGCAAACAGTTATACGGAGAAAGTTACGGGAAGTTGTGCTGCATCAATCCTATGATGGTTTAACAGGAGGACATCTTGGAGTTAAGAAGACATTGAGTCACCTATGGCAGAGATTTTACTGGACAGGTATGAGGCAAGATGTGGAGGAATGTGGCAGGAACTGCAGTACATGTTGTGCTAAAAGAGAACCCAAGCATAAGGGACATACTCCAATGAAGTTATATCAAGTTGGCGCACCAATGGAAAGAGTAGCCATTGACATTGCTGGTCCTTTGCCCCAAACTAGTGCTGGAAACAAGTACATTTGTGTGGTGATGGATTATTTCACTAAGTGGCCTGAGGCATATGCAATACCAAATCAGGAAGCTACAACTGTAGCTTTAGCTATTAGTGATTTCTTCTTCAGGTTTGGTATGCCATACGAACTGCATTCTGATCAAGGCCATAACTTTGAATCAGCTGTGTTCCATGAATGCTGTAAGTTGTTTGGCATACGAAAGACCAGGACAACGTCACTTCGCCCACAGACCGATGGGATGGTAGAAATGTACAATTGGACATTGGGACAGGAAATGGCGAAGTTTTGTAATAGTTGCCAAGATGACTGGGATGTCTTACTCCCTCCACTGTTGATGGCTTATAGAACAACAGAGCATGACACCACTGGATACACTCCCCAAAGCTGATGTTTGGTCGGAAACTTCGGTTGCCAGTGAATCTGATAACAGGATGCCCACCTTGCAAAGAGTTGCCTGAAAATGTGTCAGACTTTGTGAAAGTGTTATCATCAAGGGCGTTCAAACTTGAAAACGTCTGCTGATTCGATGAAGTTAACTTATGATAAGAGATCTATTGAAATCAGCTTTGTACCAGGAGACAAGGTGTGGTTGTTTAATCCCAGGAAGACCAAAGGGAAGTCTCTTAAGTTGTCTTCTCCATGCGAAGGTCCTTATGACATAGTGGATCATTTCTCAGACGTGACTTTCCGAATAAAATGTGGTCGGTGAGGTAAGCCAAAGGTGGTGCATGCCAAGAGGCTTTGGCATTATCATGGTCCAGGACATTTCAGGTGGAACGAAATGAACAACAGAACAAATGAAGCTGCTGAAGATGTGTCACCTGAAAACACCACTGTTGAAGAAGAAACTCTACCCATTTTTGGAAGGGAAAACAGTGAAGCCGTTAATGAAGTTACTACCACTAGTGTGTCTGCTACCGATAATGGGACATTTCATAATGGAACAGACGAATCTCACGTGAAGCAGAGGCTAATAAGATAGAGACCAGTACAAAAGAAGAGACTTTGTTGTATTTTAATTTTGTGTTTGTAAATTCTGTACATTTAATTAAGTTATTGTTAATTATCTATTGTTTTAATGTAAGTGACTATTGTTCGGGATGAACAAAACTAGGGAAGGGGCAGTGTTACGACAGGAGAAGTCACGTGATGCTGATGAGTTTCTTGAATGATTGGTGAAGTCAGAGTGTGCTCGAGATGCCCTGTTCGTTAGTATATAAGCCTGACAAAGAAAGCCAGAGGGAATGAATGAAGAGAGACCAGTAGTTACTTTGAGTTCCGTGTAATTTATGATTCTGTTAGTTTCGAGCTAGTGAGCCATAGAGTATTCGTTTTGCACTCGTCGAGAGTCAAGTTATCGAGATCGTGAATCGCTGTGATTTATAGTATGTATTATAAAAGTTGTTAAGTTTAAAGTGACGAGAAATGTAACGATTGTGGATCTACTGTGTACTAAAAGTTTGTATCGAGGAAGAATAAACTGGTTTAATCAAGAAAGGACTTGTATCGCTGAAGATCCTCGGAAAGAATTTCTACCAGAAACAAACAAACAAGCAAATGCGTAACAATACGTTTAACTTGTTTTGAATATATTATTTTAAAACAAGTGCTGTTTGAAATTATCGCCAACAAGACATTGACACATACTGTAAAAGAATCCTTGGCCTACAACCATAAGTTCTGATATACTGCTTGGATTATACCATGAAACGAAAGTGTTTTCATGTAAACACTTAGTAGAGGCTGAGAATACCACGTGGGGGACATTCTGAGCTTTCGATTGGTTATACACAAGTAACTGGACGAAGTATTTGTACATAAGCAAGTATTTCCAAAAATGGAAGAGATGGGCGGGAGCCACCTTAGTTGATTCACTAAATATAATAATATCTATGAAAATAGAAAAGATAGGAGATTCTCATCTTTTATTTTAGCTTGCCAATATCAGTAACTTCAATTTCTAATTCGTAAGAAACTATAGAATTTGTATTTGGACAACACAAACATAATTTGAAACAAGACTGCAGTCAACATACTACGTCAAACTCAAAAAGCTATATTTAGTTTTTTTTTTTAATTGAGATATTAACTTATGTGTAATACTAAAATTTGAATTACAATCTACAATTTGATACCAAACTTATTGACATACATTCCTAAAATAGTAGTTCAATAAAATTTTGAATGTAAGTCTATAAACGTGATGTCATGGTCTTTGACCCGTGACCATAGAAGACCCGTCAGACCCAACCTCGGTAGGGTTAATTATTTTATCATCTCTAGTAATATTTCAGTCTCGCCTCATGAACACATTGAAATTTAGTCAAGGTTTTATTTTCACCAAAATAGTTCCACTTTTGACTCAAATACTGTAACGTATCCTATCGCTAGCGCTAAAATCCAAGACTCGATTCCCCACTATGGACAATGATGGTTTGTTTGTTTGAAGTTAAGCACAAAGCTGCACAATGAGCTATCTGTGGTCTACCCATCACGGGTATCAAAACCCGGTTAATAGCGTTGCAAGTCCGCAGACAATGAGCAGATAGCCTATTATGTAGCTTTGCGCTAAAAGAAACAACAACAACTCCACACGATTTAAATACTACGAAAAAAATATCCACAAGATATTACATAAATAATTAATTCTTGAAAACAAACAAGCAGAGGCCCACGCAGAGATATTTATTTCACATCTCTAGCATTGCTCAGGAAAGAATATTACAGTATTACTATTAATGCTAATTAGTTTGGAAACCAGGGTCAAAATAATTTTTTTGCTACTTTTAGAAAAGGTAGAGCGAATGAATACGTTTTTGAAATACCGCATAAACTTCCTTCAGAGTGCACTTGTTAATCTAGATTTTAGGTGATTTTATGACTTGTTTACATTGAATTTAAACTTGTTTTAATCACTTTTATCAGGTTAGCCTTAACCTGAATATGAAATTTATAATTTTTAAATTAAAAATGTAACTTTATAGTTAAATATAAAGAACAGTTATGCTTTATTTCTTTTTGAATGAGAATAGGCTTAATTTTCCAATGTTTTATGTGTGAAAGTGGTATTTCAGTTTTCTGTGTTTGGAGTTGCCACTTGTAACTAATGTAAGTTGTAGCTTATAAGTTATAGTACATTACTACAGCATATCAATCATCAATATCATTAAGTTATGCCTTATCAGTATCGTCAAGCTTGTGCCAGTTATGGTGAAGGAGAAGGCATCAACTCTCTTTCATCTTTGTTAAGTTTTTACCTTTGTCTGTACCTTATATAGGCAATATAAACTAAAGTATTGGAAGAAAAATGTATTTAAAATTGAAATTTTATAACAGATGTTTTTGATTTTTTCAATTTATGACTGCAGAAATTAAAATAAAAATGGCAGAAGAAGTACAACCACCATACAAAATTACAACATAAAGTGTCTTCTTGCTGAAATGTGTAAATAAAGAGGTTGCAGTAATGTATACTTTAATGATATATTAAGAGTCAAAAATGAACATGGACAGTTGAGGCCTTATACTTATTTGTAAAAACAACGTGAAAAGTTGGGCCTCCTCCTTCACCATAACCTATCATTACATGTTAAACTGGAGGGGCTCTCAGTCTCAGTAGAGTGCATACCTCTGCCACAACATGTTGATCATATTTGCTCTCAAGAAATACGAAAATGTGTCCATATGTCCATCATTATCGATGGAGATGGACCATTTTTGGCAGGACAATGCGGAATAATATTATACATATGTCCATCAAAATTTTATCATTTCTGCCTGAGTTATAGAGCAAAAATAGTTCACAGATAGGGTTTTTTTTTTATTTTCATGATTTTGATGTGACCTTGACCCTCCAAAAACTAATCACTTTTAAGTTGGGTCATAGTCCAAGTCAGTGATAGTAATAAAAACAGGGTAAAAAAAAGGCAAAGAAACTTACACAAACAGGTAAAAAAGTAAAAAATATAAATCCTATATTTTAGGAATGGTATAAAATGACAAATTCTAAAATAAGCATTTTACTTTTTTTGTTATCACCCTCTTATGAGTAAACCCTCTTGTGAATTAATAGTCTGTAAATATACTATAGTTGTACAAATATTCTATCACAAATTAAACTGTATTAATAACAGCTTAATTATTAATTCTGTTGGTTTAAATGGTTTTGGTAATTGGCTTAGGCTTGGTTTAGCTGTTATTGATACATTGATACTGTTTTCCAAAATACTTTTTGACTTTTTTTTCCAATATTTTTTTTTCCTCTTGTTTTTATTACCTAGATTCAGTCCAAATATATACCACATTTTGTCCAAATCCTTTCAGCTGTATTCAAGAAATCTTGCTGACAAACACACACATGGGTGAAAACAATATCCGTCCACATCGGTGGTGGAGGTAACAATCTACACTGTAGTCTATAGACAGCAAGAAATCATTTGGTTCTTCAAATATGACATTGCACACCCACCCTCTACTTTTCAAGAAATCATAAATTATTCTCTTAAACTCCTGTAAAGTGCTTACCTCTGCTGTGCTGACTGTATTACACCATTAGTTGTAAAACTAACACCAGTAACAGGAACATGGTATTAAACATTAACACTGCAAAAGTATCAGTAAAAGAAACAGTATCAGGATATGATAGTAAATCAGTTCAATGAAATCCTAGCTCATTTGGTTTGTAGACCTGTTTTTGTTTCTTTAGTGGCAAGTCTTAATTTACCCATATTTTAGCCTTGAAGAAAACGGGTTGAGATGTTGGGTGCTATGGTTTTTATTAAGTTAAGTATTGTCACTGACTTCAGAAAACATTCTGTTGTTTAAGTATGTGCCTATATTACATACATCATTCCATAACAAATTGTTTAAAATTTACAGGTCCTACTTATAATTATCAGTGGTTGCCCATGATGGCATGTGGGTTGATTTCAGCAAGGGGTGAAATTCTAAAAAAAAAAGAGGTACTCAGCTGCTGGAAGTGGACCTGTTTTTGAAAAAGAAAAAAATGTACGTGTAAACATAAAAAAATGACAAAGCAGCTCAATAAGTCCCAGTACTAGTATTGTCTTAAAATATAAGTTCTGGTACTCAGTATCAGTGAGTACCAGCAGAAGTTCACCCCTGATTTCAATCAGCTATAAGTACTGCTAAGGCTAATAAGCATCATATATCAACAAAATTTCAAAATGTTATACACAAACAAATCAATTGACTTTATCCTATCAGTTCCTTCGATAATCTTGCAAACTTCAACAAGATAATGTCTTTTCATTTTCTCAAGAGAAGGTAAGAGATATTAATCTCTCCCTATCCTGTGATGGGACAGTGATAAGTTTCTGGAGTTACAACATTAAAATCTGGGGTTTGATTTCCTGCATTGGACACTATAGATAACCCAATACAACTTTGCTCTAAAACAAACAAAAAGTAATCTCTCCCTATAAGATAACTCTCTCATTTCTGAAATCATTCCATTGGCCCTGTAATGTTCTGAACCATTTCCAATAAGTCACTATTCTTTCTTGGTTAAACTTGTATACAGTATTCTAAGTGAGGATTATAGAGTTGATTACCTCTTTGTTTTGTAATCTATGTCAGTAAATACACTAAAATTTCATTGTCTCAGTAGCTTGAGTGACTAATCTACTACTGTGTTAAGATATATTTATAATGCTATTGAGGGGGTTCTTATCTATATAACACACATTGTCCATATGCAATATCTCAAAACTAGTACAATTAAAGGTCATTTGCCAAATATTTGTACAACTTAACTGTTGACCATAGTCATTTTATAATATCTCAGTATCCTCAATACATCTAAAAATACCCAAGGGTTAACTAAGTTATTAGTTACATCTTTATCAATATCATTAGTGTAAATAAAAGAAAGCAAAGGCCAAGCACTAACTTTTCAAGTACTCCACTAGTAACAATGGGTTGGTTTGACTGGATTCCACTAATAATTGTTTGGTTTCTTTCTCCATCCATCCACCTTACAGTTCAATTAACTAGTCTTTCCTCATCCCTACCATTGTTATTTTATTAACTAATTTTTTGTGTATACCTTATCTAAAGTTTTTGAAAATCCAATTACACCAAATCCACATTCTTTACATCATCCAGATAACAAATAACATTCTTAAAGTTAATGGATTACTAATGTAACTATATGTGCATGCATTGGTACTTTAATGATTCTGATCATGTAACAGTAGTGGAATAGAGTTGGATTGGGACATATTATCTGTAGCCAAAACTTAATATTACTTGGATATATTCTTATTATACCCTGAAAGTCTATAAAAAAGTTTACATATTTTTTTCTAATTCTCATGAATGAACAATATGTGGAGGTTTTCTGCCAAATACTGTTGAAAAAGAACAAAATGGTAAAAAAAAAAATCTGCCAAAATTGGGGGAAAAAAATGGACATATTTTACTAAAAAATGAACAAACTTCAATGGGGCCAAACATTTCTTAGCCAGTCAAAGGCAATGGGAAGGTTAAACAAAATCATCAGGACCTCCCTGGACTCATGGAATAGACCCTCAGAATACTAAAAAAAGGTCTAAATAAATAAAGTTTGGGAAATGACGTCAAACAAAATATTTAATGAATATTTTTGCATGTAAAAAAATCTAAACATGGGAAGAAAAATACAAATCTGAGAATTATAGAAAAATTTAATTGAACTAACTTTTGGAAATGGCAAAAAACAACAGGAAGAAAAATATGAATCAGAGAATTTGGAGAATGAAAAGAATTCAAATAAAAACACAGGAAGATAAAAATGAATCTGAGAAGCTAAATTAAAACTATTTACTTTTATATAGAGTTGAATTAAGTTCGGGAAATGGCAACAGACAAATCAATTAAAAAAATTGGGATATGCTATAGAAGTAATAAAGTTAATGGAAATACTTGACTGGTACATTGAAGCCTCTGTGAATCATGAGAGGACCTTAGAATCCTGCAGTGGAGCATAGGTATTTTATGCTAGTATGCTAGAAATGAATAAAAACCCTTTAACCCGAGCTCTTTCGAAAGGTGGAACTTTCTTCTTCAGGGGCAAACAATTTGCCCATGAAGAAGAGAATTCTACATTTTGAAAGCACTTGGGTTATAGGGTTTTTATGGATTTCTATCAAGACTTCTTCAACCTACGTGTTGTTCTAACATCAATTATGCTAGTATGTAATATTAGCATATTACTTCCTTGTATGAATTGCTTCCTTTTAATGATCTAGCTGGGCAACAATGGTTACAATGGATATAACACACACAAAAATACCTGAAATGCATCCAAAAATATTTGAAAAAAAGAAAAAAGCCAAAATTGTGATTTAGTTTAAACAGTATGCACATACTAACTGGTTGTGAAGGCAACAAATGGCCTGTTGCCTAAAATCACCAGTCAACAATTTTTTTTTATTCTAACCTCACCTTCTGTTTTCAGTTTTGCTAAAATCTGATTAATTAGCACTGTCACATAATTTATTTAGATTATATCCCTAGGCCTACATGTAAATTTTAACATTTCATTGAAGATTTTGATTTCATGGAATTTGCTGTGTTGGTTTTCACTCAATTTCAGCTCAGACATCAGTAAATATTCACATACATTTGATTAGACAATGTTTCATTGTCTTAATATATGCAGTTTCAACTTTTAGGCCTGTGTGATCATAACAATAAATGTATAAAGTACATACCTCTTAACTTTAGCATAAAATTTGTCTAGGATACTGGTGAGTTTTCACATGTTGTCATCAACCATCACCCTCTGTACAATGAAGTATTTTTCAACTACTTTTACAGCCTTTTTGGATATGGTTTTAGTACTCTTATAGTCATTTTCTGCAACAAGACTGCAGCTCTTCATCTGTGATTAACTGAAATATTATGGCATCAGATATTTCCACATCCATATTATGGGTTTGAGCTAATCATTTGTAATTAGGCTTAAATGAATTTGGTGTGTTTCACTATGTTGCAAGGAATTGTCATCTTCAAAATTTTGCTGCTGAAACAATCTGCATGTGATCAATGTCAAACATGCATGGAAATGGAATTTACAATCATGCAACAGTCATGCAGTCCAATTA